AAAAAATTTGATGCTATATTGAAAGAAATTTAATTCCCCCCCCCAGCCCTTAGAGATAAAGCCAACTTCTGCTCATCTGGTGCATCTTGTTAGTACGGTTCAGAATGGTGCTGGTGAGGTTTTTATGTGTCATGAAATGTATAAAAACTGCAGGCCTGGAAAACTAAACATTTTTGATTTGTTATATCACCTGACTTTGCAGCGCTAGTGGTATAGAAAAGCTATTTCATGTTATGTTTTCAAGGTTTTCATGGCTGCTTTCAAAGGGATAAAGTTCCACTTTCCTTGGCAGACAGCTTAAACATAAATGATGATAGTCTGAAGCTGCCTGAAGATTTGGAACGGCAGAAGCTAATGTGGTGGGAGGAAATACTGAGCATGAGACAGGTGACAGGGTCAAAGGTGAATAATAAGCTATGTCACCATATGATGTCCTTCTGTTATTTTGGCTGTCTTCATATTTTGTCAGATTAATATCATTGTCGCACAACAAAGCGTTTGTAGTCCTTGCTGCCTCTTGAATCCAGTGCTCCTAGTCCAGAACAATTTTCTGTAGCCCCAAATATTTAACGCAGATAGCAGGAAACTTTGCGCTGTAGAAAGTAGTCAAATGGAAAATGTGTATTTTTCAAGCTTTTTGCACAGATTCCAGTATGTTAAAGTGACTGTGCAAAAGCAGCTGCTTATTTTTGCTGTTGCTGCTCTTTGAGGTCTGTGGGAATTGCATGGAACTTTTCCTAGCTTGATTTCATCGATATGTTTCATCTTTCTAAATGTTAAAGAGGAGAAAGGATCTCTCCAGAATAAGTGGCATTTGTCAATGCAAATGTGTTGATTAGCATTCATTGTTTCTTTATCTACTTGAGGCTGCTCACAGGAGGTCAGTTGGAAGTGAGCGATACACTGTAAAGTAGTACTTCCAGTAATCTGATAGGCATCTAAGTAGAATATGCTTGATTTTTACTAAAGTCTGGCTTCACTTCTAGATTTTACAGGAAAACCATAATGGGATTAGAATTTCTGTGCATACTCCCAGACTCGCCCACTCTGGCATTAAATCTGACCAGCCAAATGAGAGTTAACGACCATTTCCTTTACGGTCAGAAAAGCTCAGTGGGAAATATAATAGCTTGGACATTGCCTGCTATCATTTTCAACCCCTGGCAACTGTTTGTCGGAGGAGGAAGCAGCTGTACAAGTGACAATGTATTTAATAGAGCCGATTGAATAATTCAGAGCAAATAATTCATTTGATGAATTTTCCCTATTCTGAAATATGGAGGCTTCTCTTATGCTTGAAAACTAAGCACATGCTCTGCTGAATTGAGGCCTTTGGCCATAGTGGGAGCTGGGGGTATAGCTGGTTTTGAGAAGTGAGGGTGAACTGTGGGGTTTTATCCCCTTACAGAAAAACTACTGGAACAGTAGCCTGGATTCTGGCCTGACACCTGGTGTCAATCCACTGACTTCTAAAAGGCTGTGACTTCTACCTGAATTTGAGCTGCTCGTTATAAAAACATGCAATGAATTCTAACAGAAGCAGGAGCAGAGACTTGGGCAGCTGAGGTCCTTGCCAAATTATCTCAAATGACAAATAAAACCCCCAGTCTGAGATTTCCCCTGAGGAAACTATTTGGATTACACAATTCACTGGACCTCCATTTCCTTGTCATTTGCCCCATGAGAATGAAATATCCCCTATGCTTGGGGTCCTGTGCATCACCCTCACATTCCTGAGGGACTTCTCAGCTCTCCTTGCTCGCAATAGGAGACGCAAGTGGCCCAAGGGGGCATGGAAGTCTTTTCAGGTTGTCAGCAGGAATGAGACTTACTGCTTTGCAATCCCCTGGAGTCCTTGTGTCATAAGCTCACCCTTTCTGGCCAGGATGGTACCCTTAGACCTGGGGGTGTGGGGAGCTACTGACACGTGTCAAGAGACTAAACACACCCATTTTCAGCAGCAAAAAAGGTGACATCTCCAAGCTCCCTTGCAGCAGTGAACCTCTGTCTGCTGCTCTTACGTCACACACAGCAGTGGTGCATGGTGCGGGGGCAGGCAGGGACAATGGGAGAGTCAGGTAACCTCCAGCTCTGTTACCACCATGCTCCCATTAGGCAGTGCTCGGGCTTTGTGCCTCTCGCTCACCATCCTTACTCTATGGTTGGGGAGTAAAATTTTCCCCGAGAGACTTAGGAACCTTAATCCAAATTTCAAAAGTGATTTAGGCACTTAGGAGCCCAAACCTCACTGACAGACAAAACCCTCAGGAGGCTCAGACATCCAGGCCTAGTTAAAAAGTTTTGCTGACAGTACTGCATCAAGGCAGGACTCGACTTGTTGCTGTAGCAGAGAGAAGGACTCAAAAATGACCAACTCAGAAGGCAGCCTGGCACCATTACTCACCAGCAGCCATCCTAGTGCAGTCGCACGCCTGTTTAGATCACAGCACTTAAGCATGCAAATCCCAGAGATACGATGGAAAGCAAGATGAAGACAATTCTTATTTTAGAGGAAAAAACCAAGCCAAAGCACTTAAAGGTTGCATGCAAGGCTTCATTCCCTTCTCAGATAGCGCCTAACACACACACACACATCTTCAGAGTCAAACAGATGTGCGTGGAGCTGTGATCCTTGCAGACTAACAAATGAGCCTTCTCCTGTAGTCATGGCTAACAGGGGATATGCAGAGCACTTTCAGATGTGCCAGATCCATTATAATAAACCTGTGGCCTCCTCAGAAATGTGCAGATGTCACTGCTGCGTGCCACAGTCACCCACCACTTCATGGCCTCAGCAGGAACAGAACTCAGAGTATGCTACTCTGAACACACCAGGCTTCAGGTACCAGATCAAAGGCGGGACCTCAGCCAGCTGCTAAACTATTAAACATACTTACTTGCCCCATAGTGGGCAGTAGGGACCAGCGCTATCCCTGTACAGCACTATTCTGTACAAGAGAAAACTGCAACATTACATTTTAAAGCAGAGTGGCTGGCTGCACAATTCAAACTGGGAGAGTTGCAGGAAATATATTTACACTAGGTGCACATCATGCGAAAATAGTGAAGAATATCCCCCTTGGGCTCAGGATGAATTTATTGCACTTATAGCAGTGCATCACAACAACAAACAAACGGGTGCATGTGCATGGCATCATGCTGCCTTGGCTGCTTTGCCCACGGTCTCTCAGCGAGTCATACGTCCCCTGTTTCGGATGAAACAAGTGAGTGCCTTGAATAATTCCACCTTCCAGACAGGTGGGATTCTTATTTGGTTGCTAAGCCTCCTCTTGAAATTTGAATCTTATCATTTGACATCCATCACATACAATACCATTGCCAGAATTCAAGCCAGACAGACTACTTTTTTAGGCAAGAGCTATCCTGTCATACCAATGCACAATTTGGCGTAGTAGGGAGGGCTTGAACCATTTTTAAAAGCACAAAAGAGGTGTTGAATTGTGCATGAGAAAAATGTACAGTGCAGCAAAAAACAGAACCTGGAATTCTCGACTCCCAGTTCTCTGTGAAAACCCCGAGAAACCTCCTGTTCTTTCTGTCCCCTCAGCTGCCTACCTGGTAGATGGTGGACAGAGACAACCCCCTAGATCAGGGGTGGGCAATTACTGAATTTTGGCAAGCCATGGAGGGCCACATGACAGGCAGCCAGGGGCAGATAAATATTAATTTT